ATCGTAGTCAGCATCATCAGTGACTTTTGCCATTCGCCGCACCAAGCTACGAACTCGTCAAAAGATCTTGACCTTGTTTTTGCAACTTGTTCATATTGGCAGGAAGACCTAGAGGAAAGCCCCTTGTCTGGAGTTCATAGTATGCATGATCATTTCCAAACTCGGACCGTGGATGTGGTACATTCCCAGACGTTTCACCTGCATCGTCAATGAGTCTTCCCATTCTTAGCACCACACTACAACTCGTCAAAGATACAGGTGAAGCCGATCCTTTGACCAAACGTGTGCTAAACAATTATGGTATCTCTCCTTCTGTTCTGGGCTATTCACTTCTCTTATATCCTCGTATAAATTCTTCACTATCGCCACACTGGCGTTCTCACCCCTTCTTCATCCTTGTCCTAGAAAGACCTAGGGAAGGAGGACTGCCTAACAATGTGGCAGACTCTGATCAACACAAACTAAATTAAACAAAAACGAACTCATACTCAACTCAAACTGATGTTGAAGTATCTTTCATTTCGTTTGAAGGCGAGTGAAGAGGATTCATAAGTTCGCCTCACCGGAAGCTGTAGGTTGATTGGTTTGGAGCCGCGACTATAGATGTTTGAGCACCGCCCTACCACCCCGATGAATCCTTGCTGAGCTTTCGTCCATCATTGCCGGAGCAGGACACCAAAACACAAGGACAAGACGGATCTATTCACACCTATTCGGAACTATTCGCACAAATCTACAATCACAGCCCCAGAGTAACCCCCATACAGCTTTCGGTGAGGCCAACTTACGAATCTCTTCCACTCGCCTCTTTAAATGGTACGAAAGCTACTCCGACATCAATGTATTAGGAGATTCTCCGAAACCCAATTTCTCTACATGTAAAATTAAACCAACCTCAGACTCACTTTGAACCATTCGGAGATCTGGAGTAAACCAATCATCGGCCACATATCGCCCCAAGTGATCTAAGCTGAATGGTCGTTGGATCCTCGTCAGGCAACACAGTAACATTTCAAAGGAGCATTTAATCTCCTCTCATCTCATTCTTTTCAGTCGTCTTCTTATACGCTCAAGCCATCATTTTGAGCAAGACCATCATTTTCGTCACAGAAATTCGAGACCTCTTTTATTAAAATAGACTCGTTGATTAAGCTAAGTGTGTTCTACAGGTACTGCGAATAGCACAAAAGTCCGCGATGTGAAGGCATCCCTCCAGAGGCGTCTTGGTGAGATGAGCACGATGACTTTTCGGTCATGCTCGGAATCCCGGATTCGGTGAAATAGAGGTTGCACGGAGCGAAAATACCATAGCCATTTTGTGCTCGACTTCCGGCATGGCCAAACACCTTAGGAGGTCGATGAAGCCTAATTTTTGTGTGAATTCATTATTTGCATGCACAATGCATCAATTAGAGACCTCTGTACCACATAAACACCAACTTGGATTTACGGAGGGCACAGTTGAGAAGCGGTTCCAGGCTCAGGTGGGAGTCAATTCGGTTACTATGCCTCATTCCGACCTGGCACCCCAGTTTTCAATCGACATGCCCGTCGCTTTGTGTTTTATTCCCAGCCTCTCCCACATATGCTCGCAGGTCTGGCCACCTGCTCCAGGCTCTCTTCACATACCAACTGCGATTTGGCTGAAAAACTGAGATACAAAGACTTCCCTTAATGATGTCATTTCACTGAACCATATACTTCATATGAAATTCTGTGTGTAAAGGATTCATTAGTTGACATCAGAGATAGCAACACCTTGCAGTTGAGACAGTTGGTTTGAGCGTATAAATGATCGTCTTATAGTGTACTGTGAATCCGATTCAGTAGAACTGAGTTCTCTTCCGTCTCGGCTCGGCAGACTTTGTCAAATCACAGAACACATTTCCACATAGTTACACGTATGTTCCTTCCGCTATCTCTCTCTCTCCAATTGGAAGTTTATTACAAATTCTTTAAGAGTACCACACTAAACCTCAACAAACCAAATAGAATAAGCAAACACTATAAAGCTAAAGAAGACTGCGACCAAACAGCGGGCCACACCATCTTGGTTTCTATATCTACGATCAAATATAATAAAATTAATAAAAGAATTAAAAACAAGTGGAATAAGTTAATAAATAAAAAAACAATAATAATCTTATGAAAAGTCAAAAAATGAGCACAACAGACTAATTGCATTCTTATAACCACTCATATTCACAATGTACTTATCTCGTCTGCCGAAAGGGGTATAGCATTTATTTTCAGATAATATCCTTTCAAATGTTCTCATAATTGATAGGGAAAATCCAACTTATGCCTAACCAACAAATGATTCTCTTGGGAGCATAAACTACTAATTGTACTGTAATCACAAAGTCTATGCGTCCTTCACCATTATCTTCTCCCAGGACAATTTTAAAGTCCGTGTAATCCAACTTTTCTTACGAAATTATAGCACTATTAGCAGGGGTACTTTTGTGGGTACTGGTTTGGGCACTTACAACGATGAAACCTCTGCTCGCTTCGTTCGCCATTATGGGTATATTGGCGATAATAGTTGCAATGATTTCAATCTTATCGCAACGAATTGTATCTCATGTTTCGGTGTCGAAGACCCATGCCATCCTCGCACATGGTATGTATGAGATCTACTCCATCTTCATTTAAGCCTCCGCTACGAAGCAGAGGAGATGGCTGAGACTATGCCACTCTTTCATGACAAACCAATCGCATCATACTCCGCCCAGTTTGGCCTCATCGGAGGCAATTTTTAAGCTTCTTGGCTTCTAGGCGGATCTCTTTTGCAGGCCTGATTTTCATTTTGGTCAGCACAGCTCCCCCAGGTACCGGCAGAGACCCAGTGGAAAGCTCACCTGAGCCCTCCTCGGCAAACAAGCACATACAGAACAATTCATAGGCTACTCTGTGTACGGGCTAATGACGAGCTTTGTCTCTGGCATTCTCTCTCCCTCTTCCGCCGTTTCCAG